TATATATATATAATTATATGTGTGTATATATTTAATTATATTTATATAATATCAGCCCTCATCGAGGAAGTGACATCCAAAAAAACCTTTGCCGAGCACGTCGAGCCCCACTCCACGCCTCGATCTCCAAGCAGTTGCCACATCGCCTGCGAAACCCACTCCTGAACCGATGACAGCGGTGATTGTTCCACGGAATTTCACAGGAATCACGTCCTTGGTGAAAGAAATGCATTTCCAAATTGCTGGCAGGTTCTCTTGGTGTCTATAAGATTCATTGAGGGTACTAGACCGCCCAAGGTGAAAACAGTGTAACCTCAACAATTGACATTGCATCAAGGACACAAGCAGTACAGTACAGCAGCAGTTTCGCAACAACCGTCACAGGCTGGCCACGTCGTTCATACTGAGAAACGGGTCAACACTCGTGTCGTTGCTACTCCTTTGCGTCTCGCACGCGGCTGCCGACCGCCCACAGGATCTTGGATCGCAGGAAGCCACGTCCCAAAATGCGGCGAACCTCATCATGAAAACGCGATCCTTTTAGTGATTTGTTTGATCCAAATCAAGCAGTCACTGAGTCCTTTGAACTCAGTCACTGAGTTTCTTTGCCTTCAATTGCCACAGTCAGGTCCAAAAGAACAAGTTTCTTGTGGAACTTGGGAATCGTCTTCGCCATCCATCCACTACCGGTCACTACAGGTGCTGCGTCCAAGATGCTTCTGGCTGACCCAGCGCATCGACTCGTCGTGTGGACCAAAAAATGTCACAGTCCCAGCGGTACCTTGGATTCTGGCTGGACTTGCCAAGTGTCAGCACAGGCAAGACTCCCCAGAGCCATGGTCCTAAGACACCAAGAATGATGATAATGATAACTTACCCTCTACTTCTTCATCCTCTACTACCAACTGACCCCCCACTCGACCAAAACTGTTTCAGGCTGGTTCTCCAAAAAAACATGTGGTGGAGGAGGAGTGATTAAAACCTGCGAGCCACAAATAGTCAAAGGTCGACATCTTGAAAGCTATCTTCCTTCTTCCAGCTTCTTCGCTTTCTCTGAGCTTCTGCCCCAGCACATCGATAAAGCGTCCGTCGTCTGGCATAACCACGGTGTCCAACGCTTCAAGGGCTTCTGGAGGCTGCATGGAGGCAAAGATGGCCAATGCACGATCCTGACTGTAGATGATACCTGAAGTGCCGAATTCTCAAGGTGTTTCATTCTGGCCCTTTTCGTAAGCAATCGACCATGACATTGGGTCCTCTAAAAGGCTCATGTTCTCGCACAGGTGAGTATCTAAAACATTCTAAATCAATCTCTCTGTCTCTCTGTCTCTGTCTGTCTTAGGATATCTAAATGGGATCTCGATCTGCCCAGCGGCCATCCACAAAGTCCACAGACCTGGACCTGCTCATGTCTGAGATCTTCTCCACTGCCTCGCAATGGAGTGTCGGTTGTGACCCCGACCGGAGGATTGGAGTGGGAGTGGTTTCTTGGCGTGGATGATGGTGTTGTGAAGTGTAAAAAATAGATCTTGGGGTTGGGTGTTGCGAGCCAAGAACTGGGCATTCTTGGATTCTTGGCTTTACCTATTGGCAGATAATGGCCTCGGGCGACGCATGGACTCTTGACCAACCCTCCAGCACATCCCCACCGTACCTGCTCGATGCTGGGAAACTCCAAGACGGTGACCTGCAGCTCCTGCTGGGCCGCCACAGCCGTTAAGGTGGCACTGAGCACCTTGGTCGCCGACCAAAGATTGGGTGGAAATGGGAGACCCTGGTGTTCAAATGCAGCGAGAGGTTGGTTCTTCTGACTTCTGCGGGGCGGAGGTCTTTCTGTGTAATTCTTGCGTCTTCTGCACCTCAAAGACATGAAGCTAAGTTGTTGAGTTCTTGTGGATTCGGGGAGCTGCAGAAATTCTGGAGGGTCCCAGATTTGATGGCGTTGTTGCCTTGTTAAATTCAGGGTGGAAAATTGAATGGTTTGACTTTTGACACTGACTTGTGTGTGAACGACAATTGTCCTAACCTAGAGTATGTCCACTATATACACACAAAACCCAAATGTTGCTCCTTCTTCAGCTTGCTCAAAAGAAACCCCCTCTCTCCCTTCTCCCTTCTCCGAAGCACGTAGCCCAAAGTGCCATAGGAATGCGGGATCGCCCGGAAGAGTTCCATATTCCGCTGGCGGCTGCAGGGGACCACCGTGCCATTGGGGAGCAAAACGTCCATCGACTTCACCTGAGCGGTCCAAGGAGAGATTTTTCATCGACGGCCGAGGGCGGTTTGGACCCGGTGTCAACCTGGAGTGCGCTTCGGTGTCGACATGAACATGGGACAGGGGCCACCGCAAAACAATGTTGCTCTGCAAACGGGGGGGGAGACATACGCTACGTTCGGGGCTCCTGGCATCGCTACTGGGAGCGATCGGACGCTACTAGGGGCTCCTGGCCTTACTGCTAGAAGCAAGAAGCTACTAGGAACAAGGACGCTATTACTGTTACAGTTGGAGGAAAGGCATGTTCTTCGGTTTTCGGTGCGTTGGTCCTATTCTGTCGCAAGAGGCTCGGCTGTGACCTCAACGGTTAAGACCAATCACACAATCAACAAAAATACCAAACAATAACACGCCATGGATGCCATATGATGCCATGGATCGATCATAAACATAGAAGAGAATATACTTTGGACTGTCCCAGTGTTCTATTACGTTCTATCTGTTCCAGGATGACTGGGCTTAACTACTACTAACTACCAGAACGTGAACTTAACGAGCAGCTCGACAGCCTAGTGCCTAGTGGCCGCGTTGTGCAGAAAGCCATAGCGGAAGCTACTGGATTCCATGACCAAACCAGAAATGGCACCTCCAACTGTCACAGTATCCACCTCGGGCACCACTGGCGGGATGAATCCACGCTTCAGAAGGAAGCGCGTGAGGCTTTTGAAATCCGTCTTGGCTCCGACGTTCACCAAGGCCGTGCCGGATGACATGTCCTCATCAAACGAGATGACTCCACAAAGCTTCCGGATGTTCAACGATGCGTGCTCTCCTTAGGCGAGGGACGGACGTTGTATTTGTGGTGGAGAGTCGGACTCCGTGGGGCCCGGACATGGGCCAGGAAACCATCATGATACTCAATAGGTTGTCATTGCTGGCCACCACTTTGTATACAGTTGTTCTAAGTTGTTCTGTTGTTCTGGTCATGTTTTCTCTCTTTGATGCCATTTGAGCGACCATGGCCAGCAAGCTCGTCTGGGCCCCCCCATTGCATTCACAAATATCCCAAAACAGCATGAAAGCTTCACCTGGTGTCTCTGGTACTCCATCCGCCCTGCGCCATAGAGGGAAGCTGCGTTTTGTGCCTGGTCCAGGGTGAAGGGGCGCGATTTGAGCCTCAGCTGGTGGAGCTGATCCTGAACCTCTGCGACGCAGTTCTGGTAGTCCTGCGCGGTTGGGGGGTGCTCACTGAGACGGAGGGAGGTTGAGTGGGAAGTTGGGTTTCATGGGGGTTCACTAGAAATATCGATATAGAAATGCACAAGTCAAAGGGTGAGGCCATCATGACGTTTCAAACATGGGACAGCCACTGCAGGGAACCCTTCTCGATCAGTGGAAGTTCCATCAACTTGTCATACAAGTATAGTTGGTCAAAATCAGCTCTTGACACCGTCCGCGCTTTCTCTCTCTCTCTCTCTCTCTCTGCTCCGTCCACTTCAGTCTGCCTCCACTCCATCGTGCTTCACTCCCAGTCCTCCAGCCGCAACACACTGGGCCCATTGGGCGTTCCAACCAGCTGCGCCCAAAGGTTCTCCGTCCAGCTCCATCCCTCGTCCCTGCCATCGGGCGTTCTCGGCGCTTTGGTCGGCCCGGAAGCGCCACGCAGGGCGGCGCTGTGTGAAGCAGGCAGCACCAGGGTGGTAGACACCAGTAAGGCTGGCCATAGGACTAGATGCGCCCACAGGCCGGAGGCCCTGCGCCTCATAGTTGTTCCACTTACCTGAAAGATCTCAAAGGCGTGTTGTATGTCTCCGAAAGGAACAAGGTGGCATAAAGTCATGAGTCATGAAGAATGTTGTGGCTAGATTATTCTTGGTTAGAGGAGTCTGGAATCAGATTGATTGCCTGGCACGTTGCTCTGCCGATTGGATTTGGTGTGTCTATTGCTATTTACAAGTCCCGAGCTGGCTCATTGCTGGAGCCGAATGCCGCAGGGCGGCCCGCAAGCGGGAAAGAAGGTTGCGTGCTTGGAGGACCTGGTTGAGATGACTTTCTCTTCACAACACATGCCACCTAGACCGAAGGTTGGACCTCCAAGCTTCGCAAACAGCCGTGAAGATTTTCCAAACACCTCAACCACGTCACGTCTTGGAGCCATCAGCTTGAGACATGCAAAATCCTTGAATTCAACAGAAATCGCTCATCAAACATCATGTTCCAGGGCAGCCCCGGGCCCCAACCCCCATAAAAAAACATCCGAAACATCCCGGATTGGCCGTGAAGGAACCGCCACTTCCAGGGCAGTGCGAGAGATGATCTGCAGTGTTTCCCGGAGCTTGTTGGCGCAAAGGACTTTGGCCGCCTGACACGATTTCAGCAAGAAAGGTGTCTTCGGAAGATCCCCGCAAGGTTGGATCATGATTTAGTCCAATGGGGGGGTTGTAGAAAAGTTATTTGCCAATATTCTTCCAAACCCGTGCTTTAGACTCCTAGGTCCTAGACCATCTGAGCTGTACCTGACGGGCACAAGGTGAAAATGGCAGCACGGGGCGGGGGTGCAAAACAATATAAAACAATGTTACCATGTGCCCACCATGGCCAGAACTGCCCCCCCAATCGAGCATTTGTGGCCGCAAGCCCACCCACAAATGGCGGCAACCCAAAAAAGCAGACTTCCTGCCGGTAGGCGTTCGCTGCCCGGGTCCCTGAAGTGGTGATTTGTGGACTGTGTGGTAGAGAATGACCTATATACACAACTATCCTGGAGTAGATAAGATAGAATATGAATCTAGCTTTGCCTTGTATCCTTGTCTATCGATACATCTACTCCAGCATGACTATCATGACTACAATTGAAGTCACCAGTTGACTTGTTGAGTCCAAACGTCGGCAGATGCCGATTCCTCTTGGAGCAACTTCTCTGAGGTACCCCACCAAGAAGTTCACAAAGATCGCATCGCTGGGAAAGGGAAGCTTGGGATCGCAAAGCTCTTGGTCGTCAAAGAGGTCCTCGAACATGTTCGAACACCCGTCGAAACACGGTATCGATGGCCTTTGTCTTGTGCTGTTGGGATCCTGAAAACGGGGCCAACGACATAAGATGAAGGAAAGCTTCTTCAGGAAACAACATAGTGACAAGCTTGGCATCTAGATTCTCCATCATCTCATTTAGGCCGGGGCCAGCAGGGGCCCTCAAAAATCACCCGCAAGCCATTTTCCGTGGCAATAGAACCCCCCCAAAGACCTCCCCTACACAACGTCCATATAATGTGTCTTTTTGGTTCTGGATGTTCGATCATGTTCAATCTCGAGGTTGACCAGTTGTCTCTTCCATCCAATTTTTGGGGACCAAGTCTCTTGTAGCATGGGCGGCAGAATCTCTTTCAGCAGTGGGTGCTTTCGATGAAGCTCTTCGGCTGTGGACGGTGCACCTGGTATGCCAGCAATCACTCGGGGTCAACTACCCAAATATGAAGAGAATAAACTACAGCTGCTTGAGCGCATCGAACTATCATTCTTATATAACACGTGTATGTAATGCATATACACGTATAGTGTCAAGCTATTGTCAATATATGCATGTTGGCTTGTGCCACACACAAAGTCCAGGATCAATTGTCCGAGTCCAAGCCAATCATGTCCAATCATACCCAACAAAAGGTACCAATATTGTAGTTGCAAAATAGCATGGTCATGCTGGGCTCGCCAAACTCTTGAAATTCCTCATGAGGACTGATCTCAATACACGCGGAACAGCTCAGGGCCCAGCATGTCGAACTGTTCTCGGCCATCGGATTGCGGCGAATGGCCAAACCGGGCGGTTTCACGCTGTTTGAGTCGTAGGTATGGGGTGCGGCATGTCGATGCTCAAAAGTCAAAGGTATTTGTCCTTGTGCTCTTTCAGGAGATGTGCTGGTTGAGATACATGGAACTTTGGTGCCTGGCTATGACTGTGGTTTTTTCCTGGGACGTTTTTGGCCTGGGGCTTTGTCCGGTTGCCCCGGAGAGCCCAATCAATTGTCTAAGATCTTCTGTACGTACATGTTGCATAACTAATGATAATGATAAACCGCACTAAACATGTTGCAATTGAGCAAGCAGCAAGCTCTCTTGTGCTTGTTGCCGTGGATCCTGTATTGAAAGCTGCAGGCCAATACTTCAGCTGTTTTCCGCCGGAGTCAGCCGTGCCAGCTCCGTGACACATCGTGACCGGGGTCCCGGAGCTGCAGCTCTGTCTTCCCCAAAACCCGGGACCCTGGTGGACCACCGAAAATGAACAGGTTCCATCAAATTCCTCTATATAAGCCATAGTATATCATAGTATCCATAGTGCTTCGTCGCTTTTTGGATCTTTTTGGGCACAATGGGGCGAAGAACGTGAACCATTGTCACTCCCGCGTCCGCGGAGCGCAGCACCGGCCGAAGACCTGCTCCGGAGACGGTGAGAAACGCGGCGAAGGAATGGTCGGTCTAAGGGTGACTGGCAGAGTCGAAGAGGTCCCACGCGAAGGGTGAAGGCGAATGAATGCATCATGTCGATCTATGGAAGTATGATGAATGCAAGTATCCAATGCAAACGATCTATATTGTTCAACTCTTTGTACTGGAGGGAAGTATGATGGTTCTCAGGTTCTCAGCTTCTACGTGAGGATGTCGGACCGGCACTGCTCCAAACTGTCCTCTGAAAAGCATCGTCGGTCATCGAGGATCCACTTATTGTTTTGTTGAGCCGTCGGTCATCGTCGGTCGATATGTAAGAGTCACTGAGTCCAGTCCAGCCCCGAACAACGGCCTCATTGCACTAGGAGCAAGAAGCTACTAGTAGCTCCTGGCCGTACTACTAGGAGCAAGAAGCTACTAGGAACCCGGGCATCGCTACTAGTAACAAGAGCGCTACGTTCGGGGCTCCTGGCATCGCTACGAACGGAGCAAGCATCTGATGGAATACTTTGTCCATGGACTCGCTTGACTACGATTCCGTGTTCGGGCTGTTGCGCCTTTCGCTCGGAACACCTCGAGACACCGACCCTTGATGAGATTTAGCCCTGCGTCCAACCAAAAAAGGTCAAGGAGACGAGAACAACAAAATACAACGAATGCAAGTAAGGATGGTGTCTAAGAAGCTGATACATGAGATACATCTGATCAAAATCAAACAGATTGTCAGCTCATGAACGATACAGTATTTAAAAATTATGCACGAATGATTCTAAAACTGCACTCACCCTCACCTGATAGCAAAATAGTGGCTGGACACGCTGGACATTTATCATCTAAATCTATGTATTAGATAACTATAAATATATATATATATATATATAAATATACAGTACGATGTAGTACTTTCATCGGTCCCTCAACGTGAAGGCTTCATGGTGATTTACGGATCGAAGTCCGTTCATGCATTTCTGTTGTTCAGTTCAAAGAGTTCCACAATCAAATAAACATGCTGGAACCAAACTGCGAAAGCGCATAAAAGCAAGAGGTTGGGAGGACTGTTGGGTGGGTAATTCTCTCTATTCTTCCTATGTTCACCCATCTAGGTGTTCTCCCGCCTTCCCCCTCTTTCTATGTCCGGCCTCCACGTTTTAGGTGTTTTAGGCCCTGCTCCGCGAGCGCCAAAGGCTGCCACGCTCCGGGCGCCAGGAAGGGCGCCTGCAGCAGGTGAAGAGAAGACTCAGTACTTACATCTAACAATGAAGTGCAATGCATCTAGTATATTCCGACTATTCCTAACCATTTTAGATCTGCCCTGATGCCCTGACTTTAAGGAAGACACCACAACAGGTCTTCTTTTGTGCACGTGTTGACTAAGCACACTCTGCTTATGATGCTCCATGATCAAGATCCCAAAATCTGGGAACTAAAGTGATCTGCGATCTGGACGAAGAGAAAGTCGCACGAGTCGAGTCATGTCGACTCCAGTCTCTTCGTACGGATGTGGGCATTGGTACGGTGAACATGTAGTAATGTAGTCCAAAATGTCATTCAGAAAGACGAAAAAGGGTTTTGGGAGGATGCTGGGGGAGTCCTTGAAGAAACGGTATTCTCGGTCATCGAAGAGACCTGCATCGGATGCACCTTATATAT